ATCTTAAATTTTTAAAAAATTATGCTAAAACTACATCAAGAAATATTACGTAGTAATCTATCTCGGTATAGAATCGTACAAAAAGGATTAACAATGCTTCGTTTGTTTGTCACTAATGTGAAATGTCGATAAAACATTTATTAGCAATTATTATCTATTCACACTATCTCTTCATTATATTAGGAAAAGCTTAGATAAATGTTATGGCGTGTTTTTTTCAGGTAGAGAGTATATCTCCTCTTGGAAAATGGTTATTGGCGCCGGAAGGGAGTTCACCCCCTCAATCAAGTGCCACCAATAAAACTTATTTGATCCTGATTTGGAAGCATGGGCAATTTCTGGAACGCAGACACATTAGACATTTCACATCCATCAAGTTAGAAAATTTTAAATTCTCTGTCTTTTTTAACAAAAATAACTAAACAAGAATACTCAAAATAATACAAGCCGAGGATAGTATTTGCCATTTGTTGTTTCGAACAATAATTGTTGAGATGCTTATAAAGACTTAAAACTAATTCTCGATTAAAAATTAATCAATTTTTATCTTATTTATCTTATCTTAGTAGTTTATCTTATCAGGTTTGTTATTGATACAACAACATTTAAATTGAAATTCATTTTACGAAAATATTGACTTAGAACGAAAGTTCGTAGCAGATTCTTAAAACTGAAACTTTGTTTTAAACCAATAAAAATTCGTTCTAGATTGATAAGAAATTATATCAGCCTTCGGCTAAAAAGATAGTAATCGATAAAATTGCGGTTACGCAACTTATGTCTGTTTCTATTAATATAGATTAACATTAATTCCAGTTCAACTTACTCTTCAGATTTTCTCATTCTTAAAACCAGAAAAAATGAAGAATTAGTTGAATCAAGATTTACATTAAACTATATTGATAGAAATAGGCAAAGTGACTTCAATCAAACTCCAATTCATTTTAATCAGCACTATTAAGTAATAGATACGAATAAAACTATTAAATTAATAGAATTATGTTTATTATATCGAAAAAAGAATAAGAATAACGATCTGTAATTTACTATAATAGAAATTTTGTCTTAAGCGATTCTGCCAATCGGGATAAATTAATTAGATTTTGATTGAAGTCGTCTTTGCTTTCACAGTAAGCATCGAAATTTACAAAATCATAAATTTTAGGTTTTCACCGTGGGATCAATGTTCAGTGCAAAATTGCATGCTAAGTTATAATGAAAAGGATCTGCATCGAGCAGACGCCGTACTATTTCATTTACACTTCACGAGGAACCTATCTGAATTACCGGCGAGAAGCCAGACGAATCAACGATGGATCTTCCTGACAGATGAGTCACCCTTCCACACGTTTTTGTACAGTCCTCAAAAATTGTCGAACTACGATGGTCTATTCAACTGGTCCATGTCATATCGAATGGACAGCGATGTGCCGGTTCCCTATGGAAGAACGATACAAACCTTTGAAAACTTTCCGGTCAAATATTGGGACATTATTGTGAGAACTTCCAAGACTAAACTGGTCGCTATAATGGGCAGCAATTGCAGTGGTCGTAACGGACGGTGGTCCTACGTGAAAGCACTCAAGTCATTGCTTCACGGTGATCTGGACATCATCGGAAAATGTCTAGATGGTAACAGAACCATTTGTCCTGGTCATTTCGACAAGGATTGCGCCGCTTTGAAGTCATATAAGTTCTATCTGTCGTTCGAGAACTCCAACTGCCGAGAGTACTTGACGGAGAAAGTATTCTGGAACGCATACCGTAAATTCGCGGTTCCGATAATAATGGGAGCATCACGGCAGGACTGTCTAAGATTATTGCCACCACATTCCTTCCTCCACGTGGACGATTTCGCGGACGCGAATGCGCTCGCTGACTATATTAGGTATTTGGACCGCGACGATGAGCGTTATTTCAAATATCATGAGTGGCGCAATCATTATCGGGTGATCAACGAGCACGGCTACTTCGGCAGCGTCTCCAGGCACTATTGTCGCATATGTGAGGCATTGCATTACAACTCCGCCGTGCCGAAGGTCTACACGAATCTTGAAAATTTTTGGAATAAGGAGAAGGACTGCGTTCCAGCGAGCGCTTAAGATACGAGTACAAAGAAAATAGATTTTTTTTGCTTTCTAAGTTCTAACTAACTAAAATCAAGTTTCCTTCTTTAATGTTTATTGTGTCTTTCTCATCCACGCTTATCGACGCTGGTTATTGGAAGGTGGAAAATCTGCTTTCTTTGTACTTATTACTGCTTATTACTGCTTATATGTCCTTAGACTATTTTCTATGTCATCTAGTCTTTCAAGTGTGTAGTCGTGAAGTGTAGATGAATTAATATATATGAATCAGTGGCTTGGAAACTTTAGCAATGGACGGCATCAGTGATTCAATGTCGAACTATCGAAACGCATTTCAAATTTATAGAAATTATGGAGAAAAAGATAAAATTATTGTTATAAGTCGATATGATTATTATTAATTTGATATTCTTAATTACGATAAAAAAGTTCCTGCATTTCTTTAAATAAGAATTGAAGAATTATTTATAAAACCCTTAGAAAATAGCTACATATATTATATCAATATAATTTATTTAATATAAACAACAATGTTTAATAAATGATTTTGTGTATATTATAGATATAAAATAAAACTAATAATTGTAAAAAATACATGATAAATATTACAATTTTAGCTAATGATACACATTATTGTTATGTAAAATTAATGGAATTAAAATATGCATGTTAAAAATAGGCCTGTCCTTTTTAGTTAAATATCATAGTTCATGTTTTCTCTTTTTTTTTCAACGTAGAAAGAAAAAGAGTATAAATGAACCATGCAAAAAGTTCAAATGGAAAGAACAGATCTAATTATACTCCTATATAACAGATTCATATTTGCCGCTTGAAATGGGAGACCTATGCGTATGAGAAGATTTGATCGCTATGACGCATTTTGTTAAAGTCCGTGGAAAATCTTTCGGATCGATACGAAATGTATCCAGAAGAATCCCCTCTCATTTACGCATTTATTAAAATTCGAAACGTTCGTTAATGATTCCTTGATGCTTGAGAGTCTTTCCGCAAGTTTTTCAAGATTTCGGGAAATCGCATTGCGAGAAGGTAGACGAGTTAATGCCGAGCCGTGACTAGAAAAAATAAGGATTAGGAAAAAGAGAGAACAAGACTTGTGAAAGCGCGCGATGCAACGCTAGACGGTGACGCGTTGACGTCGTCACCATCGGAGGGAGGGACGGTGCACGCGGAGCGGAAGTAGAGAAGCGATAGACGGCGACTCCGTACGTTGCAAATGGCAGACGGTGCGTGATATACCAGGGTAGAAAATCATCACTTTGTTTGCGTCGCATTCCTTTGTGACCGTCTTGTTGCTCAGCGAGGAAGCGGACAGAGCTATCCCGTAGCCGCTTGCCACGTCGCGTGCACATAGGTCACGTCAATCAGATTCCTAATTTGCAGGAAGGTAGCAGGCCGGCGAGCGAGCGGGCGAACGCCTTGCGAGATCCGACGAAAAATTGCGAGAAATTCGTGGTACACTTCGGGATCAAAAACGACCTCGAACGGAAAGGTAGACAATGGCGAGGCTGGTCAATGTTTGGCGAGACGACGAGCCGGTGAAGCTGGCCAGCAAGCAAATGCCGCTGATCGTCGACGAGAACCTGACGGTGAGCGCGCGCGCACACCCGCGCCCGCGACGCCAATTTCCCTGATCGTCAACCGGCGCGACTCCTGGAGCACAACAGCGATATCGCTTTACGGATTATCGTTTACGCTCCGTACGGGAGGCCTTTAACTGAAAACACATTACAGCCAGGTGTCAGAGAGGTGGGGGAGAAAAAAAGAAACAATGCTAGGTCGCGATTTCTGAAGAATCTGCAGTTCTTTTGTCACGATCAATTTGCGATCGTACGTTGTCAGAACATCCAGCGAACCAAACACGTCGTTGCCGACTGCGACAGAACGAGTATAACTCAATGGTTATCGTCTTTCTCACACCTGCGTTGTATACGTATTTCTGTAGGCGGTCTCTCTGTACTTAATTCATCGATTATCAATCCTTTGCATAAAATAGATAATGTTATTGCAGATTATTTTCTTTATATTCGCGCTGGAGAGAATATTCTTAGCCAAGCCAGAACGTGTTGAACAAGAACTTTACTTTGTCGTTTCTAATTGTCATCTAGTCGAATGTGAATTGTTAGTTGATCTGTAATTTCTTCTGAGATTAATTTGTCACTGTGTTTTTTTTTAGATGATTATGGATATTACTGGTTTGGGAGCTATCTGTGATAATCCCTTGATCAATGGTAAACAACTGGATGAGTTTACAAAGAAATTTGCATTACTCACAGTGGAAGAAATCAAAACATCTTTTGCAGTTACTTGCAAAAAGATAGTTGAAATCTTGAGCGCCGCAGAACCATGCGTCGGCTGTCGAAGAAGGTAATTGTCTCTTTTATTAAAATAATTGAAAATAACTTTTTATTAGAATGATACATATTGTCGCTATTGTACTCACACGATATAAGAAGACAAGGTGTTCCATTCTCGAGGATGCGTAATAGCAGAGTGAATTTTAGACCAAAATTTGATTAGCTATTTTAATATGCCAGTGCTGTAGCTATTATACGCAGAAAAATGCACAGAGGCTAAAATTGATTGTTTCTAATATCATTATTTGCAATGATACTTGTATTTTTACATCATAATTATACTATTAATACTTGTTTCCACTAAGACAGATTATGTTTAGTCTTAACTTATTCTTTATCTCTTTTTCTAGTTCTAATTATTAGAAAAAGATGAAGAGTAAATTGAACTGAGATTACATCTTTAGTACAATAATTTTCTATACAATAATTTTCCAATTCTTCTACTTTATTACACACAATGGATAATTCATGTCCTGGATTAATTTTCATTACTTTAACAAATATACAAAAATTAATCCTTAACTGTTGTAGATTCATTGAAATTTTTCAACATCTTTATCAAAGTCTATTAACATACTTTAAATAACGATCAATATAATACTAATTTTTCATTTTTATTGTTTTGATTATAAAAATATAGATAAATGAGAGTTTAAAGATAAAAAAAATATATTGGGAGTACAAATTAGTTCAGTCCGTTTTTTTATGCATTTATTTCAAAACAAACTGAATGAACAGATCAATTAAAGTATTATCCATCGCTGCCTACTACTTTTTCCCATCTCTCAGGCAATTTTCGAATTCCATCTCGAAAAAATGACTCGTTTTTGGAGGCGATTCAATTTTGGAGCCAATTTTCAATTTCTGCGAAAGAAGTGAACCGGTGACTTGTTGCATCTTTCGGAATAACCAGTAATCAGAAGGAGCAATGTCCGGAGAATATGGCGGGTGCGGTAAAACATCCCATTTGAGCGTTTCCAAATATTTTTTTACAACTTTAACGACATGAGGCGTTGTCATGAAGAAGAATAACTTTATCATATCTTTGCTCGTATTCCGGCCGTTTTTCTCGCAATGCACGGCTCAAACGAAACAATTGCAGCCGATACCAATCACCCGTAATGGAATCGCCAGGTTTCAGCAGTTCATAGTAAACAAGATCCTTTTGGTCCCACCAGATACAGAGCATGATCTTCGAACCATGAATGTTCGGCCATAGTGTTGCTGTTGAGGTGGCAACGACCGGGCTTAGCGTAGTATTTTTTCTTCTTGGGATTGTCGTAGAATATCTACTTCTCATCTCCAGTCACAATCCGATGCAAAAAACCTTTTCTTTGTTGTCTTTGAATTAGCTGTTCGCAAACCGTCTTGAAAAATCGCCTTTCAACGTCTCTCGATTTCAGTTCATAAGGCCAATTTCCTTGTTTTTGAATCATTCCCTCTGGGATCATGGCTCTCAATCGTATAGAAACGACTTGTTGAATTATCCCCAATTCTGAATTATCCCTGATTCTGCAAGCTCCTCTTGCGTTTGACTCTGATCTTCTTCGAGTAATGCCTCTAATTCTTTGTCTTCGAATTTTTTTGGCTGTCCAGAGCGAGGCTTCAGCTGAAATCTCCATCCTTGAAACGTCGAAACCATTCCCTACATGATTTATCAGTTGGAGCAGTGTCATCATAAACTTCGACAAGCATTCGATGAGCTTCAGCCGCACTTTTCTTCCAATTAAAGCAGAAAATCAAAACCTCTCGCAAATGCTGCTTGGTTAACACAAAATTCGACATTTCAAACACAATAAAAATCAAGGTTTTTGTATGAAACTTAAAGCGATATAAACTGAATATTATTAGCAGTTTAACTTCTCTGAAACCGTCAAAATCAGCTGTCACTATGAACCATTCACAACAGCTGGAAAACAATTTTTAGGGAAACGGACCGAACTAATTGTACTCCCAATAATAAAATGTTTTCAAGATTAATGGTTTCTTCATGACATCAGTAATTCTTAAATATATTATCTTTATAAAATATTTATAAGATTGTGTATTTAAAAAAATTGTATATAAATGTTGTAACTAATTACTTGATGTGCTTAGTTTTCCAAAGAAATATGTGAGACACAAATGATCCAAACTAATATATAAGGATTAAAGTTAATTTATATTAATGCAAAACGGTACATAATATATAAATAATAGTGAAATATTCTGTGTTCAGTGTTGAAAGATTATTCACCGATCTGATGAAGTCAGGACATCCCGCATTAGATCCTCTGGTTATCACTTCCGATGGTGTGCTTTCTATAAAAGACGACATTTTAAAATCGCCTCAACAGCTCTGTACATTGTTACATGGACACAGGTATGCAAATGACACAAGAATCTCAATTCAAACACATTTGTAGAAAAGTTATTTACATTTACTATTTACGTCTTTGCAGCACTAGGTTAAATAATTTAATGGAAAAACAACAAAGAAATAGAAAGTCTCAACGATGTGTACTACATACTCTGGAAATTCAGCGATTGCCACCGATATGGAATTCTTGGAGGGAAGTGTGGGATTGCATGGAACTACCATGCCGACAGGAATTGACTTTAATAGAGACCGATACGCTCGATGAAGCTTTAGATACTTATTTGCGTAAACATAGGTATGTAATTTCACATAAATTATCCGTAATTGTTTTATAACATGATTTTGATGATCAGATTTTGCGCCGAGTGTCGCAACAAGGTGCTATTGGCGTCATCTCTCTTGACCCGAGAACCCGAACCTATAAAAGAAAAAGGTTACGTAGCAGTTTTATATTCTGGAATTAAGCGTTGCTACCGCGACCATCACGTTCATTTACCACCCATTACGGAATATATGACTACTCTCCTTGGTCGCGCTCAACCATGGGCACTTATGGGAAGGTAGACTTTCAAAAATACATTCTCTGGTAATGTTTAGTGGAAGGAATAATAAAAGATTTCCGAATTTCAGAGAGCGCCACGCGAAAACGCTGGAAATTGCTCAAGAAGAAGTACTTACGTGCTTAGGTATATGTATCGCAGACCGACTACACAAAATACATCGACGAATGAAAGAGGAAGAAACTGTTTGCAAAGTATTAGCTGCTGTTGCAGTGGATGCATTGTCCAGAAACTTTCAGGTAACAAGATCTTATATAATAATATCCTCTACATGATATTAGAAATCCTATATTTATAACAGATTATTCTAATATTTTGATTTGTTTAGTCGGCGATTGAAAAGAAACAAGGTATCTCTCAATTGGAATTATTCTACAAGCAAGTTGCAAAGGAAGAACTAGCGAAACAGCACAAACGTGAAAAATTACGTCTTAAACGTAAGAAGAAGAAGGGACGTCGCAACGAAACAGAGGAAAAGGAGAATTCTCGTGATGTATGTTTGAACTTGTGTGCAAGACTTGATTTTTTAAAATTTATTCTTAACTTCTCACGGATGATACTTATTTAAGTATGACACTAAATTTATATGTTTACCAACACGTGGCTAAGTTATATATTTTATCGTAGTGTTCAAATGAGAGATCACAAAGTGATTCCCCCTGTACCTGTGTAGAATCAAAATCGATGACGCAGAACATCAATCGACATAAAGTAAATAACGAGATTTACTGAATTTTATATACATATGCGCCTCTGTATACTATCGGTTCCTTTTGCACTAGTTGCAGGTCCTAGATCCAAAAAACAAAGGTCCGCCGATGTGTAAATGTCCAGATTGTTTAAAGAAGCCAAAAACACATAGTATATCACAATCGCAAAGTAAGACAGAATTAGCATTCCCTGTGAAAAAAGGTTCACAGAAAGTTAAAAAGAACACCTCTGAAACAAAGAAAAATCTTAATACAAGTCAATCGAAGCAAAATAGTACATCTTGTAAACAATTATCTCAGGAGGATTCATCCGATGTTTGCGAGTCGTGTAAGGTAACTACAATTGTCAATTTCGTATTGCTATAATAGATGTATTAAATTTTCTAAAATAAAACTTTTTTTCTCACGTTAAGGAGGGTGAGAAAATCGATGAGAATCAGTGGCGTTATGACAATTGTAAAGATTCCATGACTAACGAGCTAGTAGATGCGTGGATAACGGAGCCAAGTGAAAATAAATATACTACGTGGATGGTAATGAAAAAACGTTTCGAAATGTCCGAGAGAAAAAACCACACCTCAAGCGAACAATCGTCTCAAGATTGCGGATACTCTTCCGAACATAATATCAGTAGTTCTTCTCTTCCTAGTACACCGGAAGGTTCTGAAGTAGCTTGTAATGATGAATGGTGTGATCACGAAGGGACTTGTCATGATAAATTTAATCATTCCAATTCTAGCATCTCTTTATTGCAAAAGAAAGGTCCAACACTTACACAAATGTTGAAGGTAAATTTAAGATATGATAATCTAAATATTTAAGGATTTGTTTTCTCTATAAAAAAGCTTTATTTCGAACTGTTTAGGATTCCTGTTTTTCTGACGACGATGAGAAGGAGAGTTATATTCCAGTAGAGGAAGTATTAGAATTTAAGTCGAGAGAATGTCAAGTCACAGAGAAGCGGCAGGAACTCCGGCAAATGCTTAGAGAACGTTTTGCTATATTGTGCAGCCATCAGAAACCACTTAGCATTCTTCATTAAGAATTCCTACTATGGTAATATATCTCCATCTTTTTTTTCTTTTTTTTACTTTGATTTACTATCAGTAGTGAGACACGAATGTAATAGATGTATTTTGAAGAAACTGTTATCATTCGAAGTCGACCTGATGTGAATAAAATGCTGAATATATGTAATTAAGAAGCCAAAAACATTATACAATACTATTTATCTCTACGTGCAAAAATTGCATCTGAAAAATAAAAAATATTGAGAGATTGAATAGTTTCATATCTGATGTTAAACAATAACGTTGACTTTGAGAAAAGTACAGAAACACATACATAAATTGAGATACCATAAAACTAGTATACGGATCAACTTGATGTATATTGATGTATATCTCGAAATTGATTGTATAGATCTTTGCAATTTAAGCAAATAAGCAGATATTTTGAATGAACATGCCTTGGCCGTGAAAATATGGCAGATCTGATTCCGCAGTAAATGCAAGTTGTTAAAGACAAGTTTTTCAGTGATTTGAAAAGTATTGTATTTTTTTTGAAAATCTTTATTTTCAAGAGTATTTACGCGGCGCTATGACTATGGTGAATTCGTGTCAATGTTGTAACAAAAAGAGATGCGATATAATTTGTCGGAATCCTAATATTAAAATCAATGTTGCATTCCATTATAATATATATATACATATATTTTATTATTCCGATGTATATCCTCTCTGTGTAACTTCTATTACACGCACTGTAAAAATATTCTATAAAAAGAATTATTGTCGTAAAATCGTACACATATATATTGTATGTTGCATAAAAGTTATTAAAAATATTTAAGCCGCTATCTACTGGTAATCAATTGTGTAAAATTCAATTCGTCACCGAATTTGCTTCTTTTAGATTTTTTATATATATTTACATATCAATACATTTACAGGAGAAAAAGCTCCTTTTTTATCAATTGAACAGAAATATCAAGAGTTTATAGATCATCTTTTTAGGATTTTATATGTTTATCCTTGAATATTTCAAGAAATGACTAGTAATTAATTATACTTCAAATTAGGTTCGATCCGATAATTGACATCTTTTTTTTTTCTTTTACTCTTAGACGTTTACATCTTTATGGAGACACATGCTGTATCTTTTTCAAGCTAATGAAGATTGCAAAATAATGTAACTTTTTTCATTTTTTAAAATAATAATTTTTTGTTCTCCGCTATCTTTTTAGAAATCTTCAAAGTTCATTATTGAAATTCTTTTGTAAGTATTTCAAAGAGTGATTATGATATTTTTTCACTAAAGAGATAGAGTACACATTCCCTCTTGGACTTAGTTGACGTATTGTGTGAAGCACAAGCATGCGTTCGTTCCACCGAAGCCGAATGCGTTTTTCAGGGCCGTTCGACGCGTTGTCGTGTTCCATTTCATTTTCGTATGCGATGCGAACCTCAAATTTGTCTCCATATTTAAATTGTGCAGATTCAACGTAGGCGGTATGATGCCCTCCTTAATCGCCAAGATCGTGAAGGCGGCTTCCAGGTTGCCAGCAGCACCTAGCAGATGACCATGTGCTCCTTTTGTGCTCGTTATTGTTACGTTTTTGCTGTGTTCACCCATCAGTGACTCGATCGCCTTCACCTCGATCGCATCACCCAGCGGCGTGGATGTGGCATGCGCGTTTACGTGCGTCACTTCCGAGGTCTCGATGCCGGCGTCCTTCAATGTCCGATCCATTGCCAGTAGCGCACCGGTGCCATCCTCGCTAGGTGCTGTTATGTGTGATGCGTCGCCAGACAGACCGTAGCCCAGCACCTCTGCGTAGATAGACGCGTTCCGAGCGAGCGCATGATTTAACTCCTCTAGAACCAATATCGCGGCACCTTCACCCATAACAAAACCATCGCGGTCACGATCGAAGGGCCGTGATGCCTCACATGGCATATTGTTCTTCGACGTACTCAATGCGCGTAGCCGGCAAAACGCAGCTATAGCTAGTGGACTAATACATGCCTCGGCACCGCCACATATCATCACACTTGTCTCACCACCACGGATAAAGCGGAACGCATCACCTGGAAGATGGTTCATTATGATGATTTCTCAGATATGAAAAGAGCATTAATTAGGATAGCGATTATATAATTTTTTCCCTAAAGCGGAAACATAAAAATTATCATTGAAGATAATGGAGAAATTTTTCACTTCTTGTGTTTCGACTATAAGAAAAAAAATTATGTATAATAATTAAAAATTAAGATAAGAGAGTTGGCTCTGGAAATAAATCAAATAATAAAACGATTTTTAAAAAATCCGAAAGAATCAATGCAGATATTAGTAGTATGCAATACGGATTTATTACAATGACATTTACATATTTAACAAATATGATTCGTAAACTTTTCGATCAATATTGTTAATCCTCTTTAGTGCTGTTAGTGCAATCTATAATATTAACAAAACATTGCGAATTACATTTGTTGATTATATAAGTATTATTGTAATAAATCCGTATTGCACTAATATCCACGTTAGCTCTTTCTGGCTTCTTAAATTGTCTTATTATTTAAAAAATTACATAATCGCTACAGCCAGTTGTTTTCGCTCTTTATTTACCAATAGCATGCGCGCCTGTCGCACATGCAGTCGATACTGAATGATTGGGTCCACGGAAACCATACTTTATACTGATCTGACCAGCAGCCATATTCGGCAATATTCTTGGCACGAAGAATGGACTGATTTTGCTATATCCCTTTTTCAGAGCTTCATACGTCATGCATACGTCCACTAGGTCTATCATGCCAATTCCTACTGAGACTCCAGTGTCACGTTTATTGGCTTCATCGGTTGGTTTCCAGTTTGCATCCGTTAATGCCTCCTCTGAAGCTATCAATGCATATGCAGTGGCAGAGCACATTGTGCGTAGCTCACTCTTCGTGAAGTAGGAATCAATGTTAAGCTCATGAGAAGAGTTTCCTTTCGGTACCAATGCAGCTAATAAATGCCAATTGTTACATACAATTATTGCGTGCAATATAATTTTGAGCAATAGTTAATATTAGGTCAATAGACTAGAAGTCAATAAATCTTGTTTAGAAGAATTATGTAATATAGAATAATTGTATGTAAACAAATTTCAACATGAATGCAATAGTAGTAGACTGTCAAAATTTGCTCACCTACTTTGCACGGTAGCTTATCGTAATCTGGTTTGGAAAGTCGCGCGATTCCGCATTTAGAGTCGATAAGAGCCTCCCAAGCGTTTTGTGTCCCGACTCCCAAGGGACACACAGTTCCTATCCCGGTGATGACGACACGTCGCTTGGACCTTGCGGCGGTCGTCAATGACCGACTAACGTGCAAAAGTGGAATGGACATCGTGATTTTCAAGAGAAACTTCCTGCAGACGCTCTTCAATAATTAGCGTAATATATATGTTGTATTAATGATTGATTCATCATGATTGGCAAACTGTAAAATGCGTTTATAAGATATACCGTAAAACTAACTACATCGAGGTTATGTGCAAGTTGTGCCCAGCGCTATCGACTGTGCCAAATGCCTGTAATACTGTAAATAAATCAATAGACGCCCTGTTTTATCAATGTTTTGAAAATTGTTTTTATTGTTGAATCTTTTAACCGTTCCTGTATTCTAAATGTAATATTACTATTAAATTTTTTAAATGTCATGTCTTAAATGTTAGATATGTAAAAAAATAAATTTAAAAAAATTAATTATTTAATAATTAAATAAATAAGATAAATAAAATATTAATTATGACATTAATGTTATTTAAATGTAAAAACTTTTTCCAATCTCACAAAGTCGTATTGACATTTTAAAACATTACGTAAGACAATTTTTAAAATTGCTGATGCGCTTTCTCTTCCATATGTTGTTTTGATATTAGCGTAAAAATAAAATAACTTATGCAAAATGATTACAAGGACATTGAAAATATGATTTCATTTTATTGAAAGTATAATAAAATGCAGAGAATACGATTAAAAACTTTATTTTGGTTTGCTTTGTAATTGGGAAAAATATATATATATTTATACATATACATATACATATATATATATATATGTTGTATGTACCTGTAGGAACTTTGGGCTACAGATTATGTCAGGGACAGTCATCGTATAGGGTAACATATTAATTTAAAAAAATGCAAAACATGCGAATATGTTACCAATGGAATAAAAAAACATCTTACTGCTATACTAAATCTAACGTTTTTTTTGTTAAATTTACATGTACATATGCATTGGTAACAAATATAAAATGTTACATGTGTGATACATTCGTCTCAATATATGCAGGCCTGAATTGTATTCACGCAGTATGCATTTTTTTGCGTGAAACTCATGTAAATCATAAAGGTTAAGAAAATAACTGGACAGAGTTTACAATAAATTTTTGAAAAAAAAAAACAGATTTTAAAGGAACTAAAGTTATTATACGAAGAACGAGACAAAAAGAGAATATAAAAATATTTAAAAAGAGAATATTTCATTTGTATGCTTTATCAAATAAAATCAAATTGATAATGCATATATTTTTTGTATAACAATATATCCCAACAAACTCTAAATTATAGTACTTGTAGTTTTAATTTACCTAAAAAATACCCCACTAAAAATATAACTGTAATATATATATAAAATACGTGTGTTATATTAGTTATATTGTTGAATGATACATATTACACACGTAAGTTGCAGGTAACTTGGTGTTTGCTGGGAACATTTATATATATATATATATGTA